CCCAGCCTTCCAGATCTCTGGACTCTTAGGAAGTAAAGGCTGACACTAGCATCCTCACCTCTCAAAATGGCTCTGTAAAAGCAGTGAGGGCTACTTTGCAGATTTCAGTGTTTTAAATTTTCTTTTTACTCAGTTAATTCACTCACATATTTCCTGTGTAATTAACAAGAAGGTGAGGGGTAGAGTGCTGTAGAAGTAGATGAAGCAATGATGGGAGCAGAGCACGGCTGCCACGGTTGGCGGGGCGGGGGGGGGGGGGCGGTTGGGGTCACTGAAAGTAGCCCAGTCCTTTGGGGAGAAATGTACATCTGGGGCCTCGTGGGCAGGTTCCTGCTGTCACAGCAGCCAGGACTGGGGAGCTGGAAGGTGGGTGACCCAGTGGAGGGCGTGTCCTCTCTTGGCAGACGCAGCATGAAGCGGAAGGCGCTGTTCACCTGTCCCTTCAACGGGGACTGCCGCATCACCAAGGACAACCGCCGCCACTGCCAGGCCTGCCGGCTCAAGCGCTGCGTGGACATCGGCATGATGAAGGAGTGTGAGTGTCCAGGGGCCAGGGCGGGGGGCTGGGACGGGACTGGGGGCAGAGGAATCTCTGGCTGCTGTTTATGCGGGTTTGGCCAGAGGGGTGTGCCCGCTCTTCCCCCATAGCTGCTGGCATCCTGCCATCCGGGGCCAGCAGCCTGGGGAGGGTGGCCGAACCGCCAGGGTGAAAGCCTCTGCCTGTCTGGGTCTTGGAGGCCAGGAGGAGCCCTCCAGTGAGGCTGGTGGGAGGGAGAGGCCGGGCACTGCCTTCCTGAGCTCCCAGGTCAGTCTTCCTCCAAGATGCCATCCCTGTGCTCACAGCTCCCTGGATCCGAGGGGAAAGAATGAGGCTCAAGGACCCCAGGGTGCTTTGGCCTTTGGGAGAGGGGCCTGCTGTGGTTGGGGCGGGAAGAGTGGTGGGAGAATGAATGTTCCGAGCCTGGCTGGCATCGGGGTCCGCCCACCCCAGCCTTCCAGCCTCTCTGGCCCCGGGAGCAAATCTGAGGGCTGGTGCCCAGGGGATACTGGGTGGAACGATTCTGTGAGGGGAAGCACTGGACTCTCGGATGACCCTCTAGATCCAGACAGAGGAAGAGGAGCAAGCCTGCAGGACATTCTGTCCAGCTCTGGGCGGACGGAGAGGATCCGTGGGGCAGTTTCAGATGTTCTGACCCCTGGACTTTGCATCTGAGCTCTGGTACCAGTTACTTGGTAACCAGAGTAGACACTGCATTCAGTAGATCCTGGGAGGGGCTAACCAGCGCCTTTGGGGGCTCAAGGCAGGGGCACTGAGCTGGCCTGGGCATGGTGCCCTCTGCACATTCAGCCCCTGCTTTGCCACTTGCTCACTCCTGTCTGCAATCTGCACTCAGCCCTGGGACAGGGCCTAGCCCTCTAGGCCATAGGCCTGAGGAGGTTGGGGAGGTGCGCTTAGACCTGGGGGGAGAGGGGGGCAGGTATAAGGAAGATGTATCTGGAACCAGAGGAAAAGTCACAGTACAGGGCTGAGGGGATGGGAAATTTCTTCCTTGATGGGAAAAACAATCTCTGTTGTTGAGAAACAGAGGCGAGTGGAGGCCCTCACCCGGGGCCCCTCCTCAGGCCTTGACAGGGTCCCCTCTGGCAGGTCTCGTCCCCTCACTCCTGATCCCAGCTCCCCAGCCAACACTGGCAGCCCTGGCAGGAGTTTCCAGGCCCTGTTCCTCCTCGCCCCCACGAGAGCCTGCAGGCCCCGACATGCTCATCGCTCCGTGCCCAGGCCCCTGCCCCGCCCGGCTCCTGTGTTTATCCTGGAGCGTGCCGGCTGCAGGCCTGGGTGCCTCCTGGGCTTCTCACACGCTCAGTGCGGCCTGCTCTGTGTGAGCTGGTGCTGGACACAAACCAGGTGCAGCCGCAGCCCCTGCTCCACCCCCGGGGAGTGCCTGCACAGCCTCTAGGGGCAGGGAGACTGGTTCTATGGCTCCAGCCAACCAGGAGCCACACAGAGTAACACCACTGGGATTCAGTAAGGCTCTGCCCCAGGAGTTCCGGTCAGGGCCGGCCTCACTGATATCCCGAGGCCTCTCCCCTGTGTCTCAGGGGAAGGAGATGATCGATCCGCTTGCAGCAGGAGGAACACTTAGACATCCTCTGAGCCCCATGAAGGTAAAGCTATCAGGATTGGAGTCAGAAAGCAAGTTGAGACTCGACTCCAACTCGGAGTCCTCTCCTCGATCCCTCTTGGGCCCCACAGAGAGCTTTGCAGCCATAGTGAGGAGCAGACTTGAGTGGGTCAGGGGACCCCTGCCCAGGAACACCCTGTGTTGGGGCCAGCCATCCAGAAGTGGATCCTCCCCTGCCCCCAATCAGCTTTGTGCCTCAGCCATGCCAACCCTAGCCTCAGTCCTCCCCATGGAACCCGTGTCCCTGGGTCTGCTGTATGCCCAGTGCGGCCCATGCCCACCGCTCTCTAGATGCCAGTGCAGGGAGCTACACTGAGCTAGGGATGGGCCCCAGAGCTCCACTTAAAATAGAAAACTTGGCCCCGGGTAGTTCAGTTGGTTGGAGCATCATTCCATACACCAAAAAGTTGTGGGTTCGACATATTCAGGAGGTAACCAATCGATGTCTCTCTCTCTCTCTCTCTCTCTCTCTCTCTCTCTCTCTCTCTTTCTTTCTCCTTCCCTCCCTCCCTCCCTCCCTCCCTCTAAAATTAATAAACATATCCTCGGGTAAGAATTTTAAAAAAGGAAAATAATAGAAACCTTGGTCTAGCACTAAGCTCTTAGGCCACTTCCTGGAAGGGAAGTTTCTTCCAGGGACAGGTGTGGCCCCTGCCTTGGGGCAGCCCAACTTTGGGAGGCCTGTCAGCTCCCGGTCATATCCCTGGGCCCGGAGTTCCCAGTCATATCCCTAGGATTGCTGCTCATTTACCACCAGGGCTGGCTGTTGCTCCAAGGCCTCCCGCTTAGAGACAACTGAGTGCCAGCATTTGTAAACCATAGGACACCCAGCTCCCTGTGAGAAGCCCTGGGTGCCAGGCCCCTTCTGATGGGGCAACGGAGGTGGCCCTTCCCTGGAGGAGGCTAGGAAGGAGGAAGGGATGATCCTGGGAACCAATGTTTACTGACCACCTACTGAGTGCCAGATACGTGTCAGACACATGCATTCTCTTGTTAAATTCTTATAAATTCCTAAATATGTAAATACCCTTTAAGATTCAATAGATGAGGAAATTCAGAAGAATTAAAAGAACATGCCTCTAAGCTAATAAGATAATGGTGTGGGCATTCTAACCTAGGTCTGTCTGTTTCCAAAGACCAGACCTATGGGCTCCAGCCCAGCACAGCCCCCAGGTATCCCCAGTGGGCCAGAGCTCCTTCATCGTGCATTTCCAGGCACTGCCTAGAGCCCTACCGATGAGCTAAAGAGAACTTTGTCCCACTGAAGTCTCCCTTTCTCTCTCTTCAAGTCCTAGTTGACTTTATGTCCGTGGAGCCCAAGAAATTTCATAGTTGAGTTCTTGCTTCTTGTAGACCAATCCTGCACAGAAGTACGTATTCTGTTAACTGGTTTAACATGTTTACAGTTGTGCATCTTTTGCACCCAGCATTAGCACAGAACCTGGCACATAGTAGGTGCTCAATAAATGTGTTGAATGATTGAATGTTTGCTTCTTTGTACCACTACATCTCCCATACTGGTCTATAGATCAAGAAGATCCCCCAAACCTGATATTATCTGTGTCATTCATTTGGAAAACCTTTATGTCTGCTTCCCTGCTGTTAGGCCACCAGTGACAATTTGAAATGTTTATAAGTTGTTTGTGCTTTCAGATCTTGCCTCCCTAACTCGATTCGCTGGCATGGGAATAACTTGCCCAAAGCTATTTTCTCTCTCGGCAAGGAACTTAGTAGGAGTGGAGAAAAGCTACTAGGAAGCCATACAGGTTTCACAAAATCCATGTACAGCAGATTTTTGAATAAGTTTTATTCAACGTTGCTTCATTATAACATTGATGAAATGTGGTAGGAACTAGCTCTTATTCACATCCTTTAGGCTATGGTAAAACAGTTTTTGTTATTTGTCATTTTGATTAGTTATAGAACCTATCCACATGCTAGGTAAGGCTTAACTGCACATCTCATGCACTTTATTCTTTGGAGAGCCCATCAAATGCTCTTTCAGAACCTACTTGCTCTTATTCTAGGTCAGTGGCTTTTAACTTCAAAACATATGTCCTCCTACATGATAGTAATGGCATTTTTAGTAGCAATTCACTGAGCCAATGATAATCTCCTACGGAATTAATAACCCCTTAAACAAATGATGTATTTCATAAATCACAATAGCATCTGCATATGTGAGAGACTTATGATTTATTCAGTCCCCAGACAATGTGGCCTGGAAGGAGGCCCACGGATTGGTGGCCCCTGTTTGAAACCAGCAGATCCCGGCATCTCTTCCTCTGGGACTGCACGCAGGACGGTGGTCCCTATTGATACAAGTGATCCAGGGGAACAGTGCCATAAGGTTAACATTGAATCTTCTTAACTTTGTCCTTTCGAAGTAAATCATTTACAAACTTTGCTACTTTAATTAATTTTTCATACTCTTCAGATGGATTGGAACACTGTGTGTGTTCAATCCCGAGGACCAGGGCCCTACTGAGCACTTAGCCGATTCTAATCAGAGGCCGTATGAGGTCCTAGATAAAACCATGGATTCTAGAACCACCCTGGCCTGAGATGAATACCAGCCCCACCACTTGTTAGCTGTGTGACTCTGAGCAAGGTATATAGCCTCTCGAAGACCAAAAGCCATGGAAAGTAGCACAAGAAAAAAATCATAGCAGGCTGAGTCATGCAGTGCAGGGAAACAGCCCTGAAGAATTCTGAGGTCATAACCTTGTTCCTGCAAAGTCCAGTAATTGTTCAGAAGGATGCCTCTGAATCATCAAGAAAAGGTTACATGATGTCACAGGTGTTCTGTTACAAGGCATTCTGTGTTGAAAATATTTCAGTAACAATGATTTAAATAAAAAAGTAAGCTCAGCTCAGGATCTGGCGGACTGGCCTTCAGGGCGTGTGTTCCTGACATTGGAGGGTACATGCAGTATCGGTGCATCTCTCACAGTCCTTTCCTGCCCAGGGCAACTAGCACATAATAGGGACAACCAGTTTGATGTGTTGGAATCCAATATATCAGACTATTGAATAAGTACCATGGCCAGAAAGCTCCACTGGGCTAGCCTTTATGGGGGAAACAGCAATTACAGGATGTGGCCCCTAGCCTTCCTTACTCAGTAGCCTATAGTTACAGTGAAGGAGACCTGGAACTTCTTAGGTTCTCTCTATACAGGCATTTATTGCATACCGTACTAACCATAAATATTACAGAGCAGAAGGCAATCAGGTGCCAGTGTAGGTTGGAAAAAGAAGACATACCACAGGATTAAAAAAGGAGAGGTCAGGGCAATCAAGAAACGCTTCCTGTGAAAGACAGCCAGCTGTACGCTGGGTGCAGAAGAATAGGTAGAACTTGCACAGCTACTGGGGAGACAAGACTCAGCTGGACAGGCGTCCAGCAGGAGTGGAAATATGGTGCCAAGAGGGAGCAGGTCGTGTTCACGGGTCAGCAATCCCAACACGACTAGAGGGGAAGTGCATCCACAGGCCCCGGAGGGTGAAGTTGGAAAGTCAGGAAGAAGTGAAATCGTGGAGAACCTTGACGTTAGTTTGCATGTGGTAAGCAATAAGGACCCAGGAGAAGTTTCTGAGAGGAGAGACATCATAGAACCACAAGGACTGGCTCAAGCCAGTGGACACCCTGGCGTGACGGGCAGAGCCAGCCCCCTCCAGTCCAGTCTCATCACTCTTCTGGCCACCCCTCGGGTGAGCAGGAAAGACCAGACACTTACTCTTGGGTTCTCCAGGCTAGAGCCTGGCACCCTGCCTGGACTGGGATGCTCCCTGCTCCCACTCCACTTGACCTTTTGGGGTCTGAGCAGACACCCTCTGTGGGAGGACGGTTGGCAGCAATTTGGGCAGGTGAGTCAGTAAGCTGGGCGTGGCCTCCTCCCAGTCCTCTTCTTAGTATGGCTTACCTCAGCTGTGGATGGAACGCACCATCTTTTGCTGCAGGCATCCGTTTTCTGCTGTGCCCCAGGCTCTGGTTGCCCACTTTTACCACCATAAGCTTTTCCTCACCCCCCCCCCACCACCAACTTCTCTCATCCTCCCCCCTCCTGAATCGCCTGGGCAGATGGGCTTTCCTTGAAGCCTGGAACCCACCCACTCTGAGGTTCTGGTTGCTTTCCCTGCTCTTGTGAAACTCCCCAGTTCTGTGGGCAGAGGCCCTGGCAACACCAGCACAGAGCAAGTAGCTACAGGCCACAGGCCCCCGTGCCCACTCCTGCCGTCAGCTCTCGGCAAGCCCCGCCAGGAGGTCTGTTTGCCTGGCTTCTGTGCCAGGCATCCCTGCTCCCAGCCCCGCCCTCCAGGCAGCTGCCCCAGCACCACCCCGAGCCCCTGCACGGCATGAAGGGGTGTGAGGTCTCCCCATCTTCAGACACTTGGATAGCAGCTGGAGAGAACTTCCCAGATTAGAACAATGAGGTGTGGTTGTCGGGGACTTCTAGAGGATTTGAAAACTTCCTTGGGCAGAAATTTCAAGACTGGACAGGCTGGGGAGGTATTGTTTTGCAAGGAACCAAAGATGAAAAGTCTTTCATTGCTGGTCAGAATAGATCAGATGCCTGGATTCCATGCCTGGAAAGTTGGACGTGGGAATGGCCACATGGGATTGTCTTCTCAGCACCTCCCATCTTCCAACACTGTGACTGTCCCCTCCGTGACTCATTCACCCCCTCTTCCCCCTGATGTCTCCCTCAGGATCAGGGAATATGGGGAGGGGGCGAGGAGGGGGAACTAATGTTGAATGAGCAGCTGCTTTGTGCTCAACACGCATCGCATTCAGTTCTCAAAGCAGTCCATCTTTCCAGGCAGATATTTTACTTCGCCACCCCTGAACACATTTTATGGAGGAAGGAACAAAAAAAGGGGCCTTAGGAGAGATTGCATGGTCCAAACTTGTCATTTTTTAAAAATATATTTATATTGATTTCAAAGAGGAAGGGGGAGGGAGAGAGATAAAAACAACAGTGAGAGAAAGTCATTGATCATCTGCCTCCAGCACGCCCCCTACTGGGGATGGAGCCCGCAACCCGGGCATGTGCCCTGACTGGGAATCGAACCATGACCTCATGGTTCATAGGTTGACGCTCAACCACTGAGCCACACCAGCCGGGCCAAACACAAGCCCAGAGAGTTCAGATAGTTTGTCCAGATGCATACACCCAGCCTCTCTAATGCCCAGGCCATCCACCTCTCAGATCCTCTTTTCCTCCTCTCTCAAGTGCCTGCCTTTTCAACATAGAAAATCCAATTTTCTACCCATAGAGTGGGTTTGGCCTCCCCTGAGGCAGGAACCCACTTCCCCCTTCCGTGAGCTCTGAGTGTGTGGTGGGGGAGGCAGCCTTCACATCTTGTGTCTTTAGAGACCAGAGGAAGGTTTCTTGGAGGAGCTGCAGACCCAACCCTCCCAATGCTCTCTTCTTACCCACAGTCATCCTGACCGATGAGGAGGTGCAGCGGAAGCGGGAGATGATTCTGAAGAGGAAGGAGGAGGAGGCCTTGAAGGACAGTCTGCGGCCCAGGCTGTCGGAGGAGCAGCAGCGCATCATCACCATCCTGCTGGACGCCCACCACAAGACCTACGACCCCACCTATGCCGACTTCAGCCAGTTCCGGGTAGGCCGCCCACTGGCCCTGAAGGATGAGCCACAAGGGGATCCTGGGCCTGGGGGGTGGGGGCCGAGGGCCAAGGCCTCTCAGTCCAACAGGAAGGGAACAATGGAGGCTGCTCCGTCCCTCTCACTTCAGGGAGGCCGCCCCCTCCCATGGAACTTCCTTAAAGCCACTCCTGTGGGAGATCAAGGCCAAAGTAGGAAGGTGGCCTGAAATGTGAGCTTCTGATACTCCATCTTTCCCTTCCAGCCTCCGGTTCGAGGGCCTGAGGGTGGAGACAGCCATCTGTCAAAGTCATCCTTGAGACACATGCCCAGCTTCTCTGGGGACTCGTCCTCCTCCTGCTCAGATCAGTACACCGGCTCCCCAGGTAAGCGGGACTGCACACCTTGCTCCCTGGTGAGCGGGGAGAGGAGCCCAGAGCTCCCCACCTGCCTGTCTGAGGCTGCCAATGGGAGGATGGCCCTGTCACCCTGTGGGCCACATGGTGTCCTCAGAACAGGTAGAACTTGCCCAAGGGCCCACGCTGGGAAGAGGCCAAGCGGGGGTCCCAGGCAAGGTCTGCCTTCGGGAGCTCTTGCTACTCCCTCTGAGCCAGGCTTCTGCCCCTGGCTCCCTCCTTGGGGGAGACCTGGTTCCTCTAAATGGTATTTTGAGCCTGGGCCCTATGGGGTTTTTTTAGTGTTTCTGGTTTTATTGAAATATGATTGACAGATCACATTGTATAAGTCTAAGGTGTACAACATAATGATCATATATATATATACAACCAATGAACATCTATCACCTTACATAGTTACAAAGATTTTTTGGTGTGATGAAAACTTTTAAGATTTACTCTCTTAGCAACTTTTAAATATTCAAAACAGTATTGTTAACTATAATCATCAGAGCCTGAGCCTTTGGAAGGTGGGATTTGGCATGGAAGAGTCCCCTTGCAGCCAACTTTACCCCAGAGTTCCAGGGGACCATTAAGACCCTAGAGGACCTGTCACCTCCAGCCCATCCTTTCTTTTCTTCTTATGTGCTCTTTTTCTGCCTTCCTCTTCATCTTCCTGCCTCATCCTCCCCTGCTTTTGTCCTTCAACCCTCTACCTCTCAGCCAACCCCAACCCTGCTGCCCTCAGCCTGGGGCCTCCTCTCCCCCCACCCCGGGGAACTAGAACCCTTCAGACTCACTGATGGATATGGGTCCCAAATCTAGGACAGGTGGCAGGGGTCCCAGTGCCAGCTGGACAGAGATGGCAGTGGAGCCAGACATTGGCATATTCCTTTGCATCAATGAGGGTCCATCTGCATGTCACATTTGTTTGTACTTCAGTTTTTAATAATAATTTTATATTATTTAGGAGTTTTGATACCCTCTCATAAGTTAATTGATTTGAGATGCTCACCCCCCCATGGTATTACCAGTAAAGCATATGTTTATTTAACAATTCAAACTAGTTAACTTTTTTTATTTTTTAATTATCATACAAAAGTAGTACATGTTTATTGTAGACATTAAGAAAATAAAAATTAAATTATATAAAGAAAATAAAAATTATATATATATATATATAATCTTTAACCATACTACCCATTTAATCACTGTTAGCACTGTGATGTATCTCTCCCGTTTTGTAATTTTTATTTATGTATTTTAAATATGTTTTTATTGATTTTATTTTTTTAATATGTGTGTATTGATTTCAGAGAGGAAGGGAGAGGGAGTGAGATAGAAACATCAATGATGAGAGAGAATCATTGATCGGCTGCCTCCTGCATACCCCCTACTGGGGATGAGTCAAAACCCAGGCATGTGCCCTGATCGGGAATCGAACTGTGACCTCCTGGTTCATGGGTGGATGCTCAACCACTGAACCATGCTGGCTGGGCTATTTTTATTGATTTTATAGGGAAAGGAATGGAGAGGGAGAGAGAAACATTAATCAGCTGCCTCCTGCAAGCCCCCTACTGAGTACTGAACCTACAATCCAGACAATCTTTAGTTACATTGGGCAATGCTCAACCAAATGAACCACACTGGCCGGGACTCATTTCTTAAAAAAACACATTTGCATATTCAGAAATGGAATTGTGCCATACACAGTCTGGTACTTTGCTTTTTTCTCACAATAATACATTGTATCATATTTTCACTCAGTATACACCCAGAATATTATTTTTAAAGGTTGCATGGCAGTCTGGGGTATGAATGTACAATAACATATCTAAATCCCCTACCATCAGATATTTAGATTATTTCCCAGCTTTTCATTAAGATAACAGTATACTTGTTGCTAAATATTTGCACTTATTGGGAATGTCTTCCTTGTGATGAATTCCTGGAAGTGGGAGTAGTGGTTAAAGAATATGCGTAATTGTCAATAGCTTGCGAGGTGACTTGCGAAGATTGGTGCCTCCTTTAGTGCACAAAATTGCCTAGTTCCCTGCATCTTCATAAATATTGGTCTCAACATTTAAGCATGTTTGTTTCTAGCTTATAGGTGAAAAGTGTCGAGGTTTTATGTGACAAAATTTTTTTTTATCACTGGTGAGGTTAAACATTGCTTCCCACAAGTTTATTGGTTCCAAATTAGTTTTGATTTGGCAGCATTAGGAACAACACACACAGAACATAAAATCATGACTTGAGGAAGTCTCATTTTGGAGTATCTGTGATTTTGGGTTTTACTGCCTCGCTCTGCTGAAAGAAGTGACGGGGAAATCCTAGAGGGAAGTCTGGGCTGAAGACTGACCTTGGGAGAGGCGGTCACTGTGGGATTCCCAACTGGCCCAGCTGCCAGGGCACAGGAGGTCCACACAGGGCTCAGCAGGAGGAAGCCAGGCTCAAGTATCCTTAAGGAGTTCCTTTTCTTCCCTCCTCCTTCCTCAGACTTGATGGAGCCGACCAACTTCTCCAACCTGGATCTGAGCGAAGAAAACTCAGATAGCTCTTCTGTGACCCTAGACCTGTCCCACCTCTCCATGCTGCCCCACCTGGCTGACCTGGTCAGTTACAGCATCCAAAAGGTCATTGGCTTTGCCAAGATGATCCCAGGGTTCAGGTAAGAAGATTTGGGGACATCTGGGGAATAGAGTTAGAATCCTGGAGTGAGTTGCAAGGAGGCTTGAAGATCACAAATCCACTGCTTCCCAAAATAGAGAGTGAGGCCCTGCTGCAGCCTCCTAAATAGAATCTCTGGGCTAAGCCCAGGGGACTGTATTTTAAGAAGCGCAACCCTCCAGCATTACTTGAGAGAGCTATTCATGCCCCACACTCTGTAGATGATGAAACAGAAGCCCAGGAAGGTTTAGTGGCCAATGCCAGGACTCCCAGCATTGGAGCCCGTGGGTCAGAGCCAGGTCTGGAACTCTTAGCTCACTGCTGTGTCCACTCAGCTGGCTTGGGCTTAATCCTCATAGTATGCCTTTAAGTTAAGCCCTTGTTAACCCTCCACACTCAATTCTGAAACCAGAATGAAGTGGTAGAGGGGAGAGAGGGTTGGGCACGAAGACTTGTGAAGGCGCTTAGGAGTCCTAGGGGGAGACAGATTTACCAGCATTTAAGATCTGGGCATCCTTCTCCCAATATACTCTTCACCCAAGGCCATTTCCTAACCATACTGAGACCTTTTTGCCCAAAAGGATAAGTATAAGAAGTTCTACTGGAGTAGAGATCCTGTTATGGATTCACTCATAAAAATTTCTTTCACTCATTCAAGTGTTTTAATGGCATGTATAATACTCATATTTGAAGTGTCATGCTGTGTCAAATAGTCTTTTTTTATTATTTTTTATGGCCAATTAGTACTCCATTGTGTAAATGTACCACTGCTTTTTAAAAAATTCTTTATTGTTTAAAATATTACATGTCTCCTTTTTCCGCCATTGACCTCTCCCCAGCCGTTCCCACCCCGCAGCACATGCCCTTCCCCCATACTATGTGTGTCCATGGGTTATGCTTATATGCATGCATACAAGCCCTCTGGTTGATCTCTTATCCCCTCTACCCTCCCCTGCCTTCCCTCTGAGGTTGGACGGTCTGTTCGATGCTTCTATGTCTCTGGGTCTATTTTTGTCCTTCAGTTTATGTTGTTCACTATATTCCACAAATGAGTGAGATCATGTGATATTTATCTTTCTCCCACTGGCTTATTTCACTTAGCATGATGCTCTCCAGGTCCATTCATGCTGTTGCAAATGGTAAGAGTTCCTTCTTTTTCACAGCAGCGTAGTATTCCATTGTGTAGATGTACCACCGTTTTCTAATCCACTCATCTGCTGATGGGCACTTAGGCTGTTTCCAAATCTTAGTGATTGTAAATTGTGCTGCTATGAACATAGGGGTGCATATATCCTTTCTGATTGGTGTTTCTGATTTCTTGGGCTATATTCCTAGAAGTGAGATTACTGGGTCAAATGGGAGTTCCATTTTTAGTTTTTTGAGGAAACTCCATACTGTTCTCCACAGTGGCTGCACCAGTCTGCATCCCACCAGTAGTGCATGAGGGTTCCTTTTTCTCCACATCCTCGCCAGCACTAGTCCCTTGTTGATTTGTTGATGAAAGCCATTCTGACAGGTGTGAGGTGGTACCTCATTGTCATTTTGATTTGCATCTCTTGGATGATTAGTGACTTTGAGCATGTTTTCATATGTCTCTTGGCCTTCTGTATGTCTTCTTTTGAAAAGTGTTTATTTAGGTCTTTTGCCCATTTTTTTAAATTTAAATTCTTTATTGTTTAAAGTATTATATAAGTCTCCTTTTTCCCCCATTGACCTCTCCCTGGCCACTCCCACCCCACCTCCAGCACATGCCCTCATCCCCCTACTGTCTGTGTCCATTGCTTATGCTCATATGCATGCATACAAGTCCTTTGGTTGATCTCTTAGACCCCTGCCTTCCCCTGTCTTCCCTCTTAGGTTGGACAGTCTGTTCAATGCTTCTATGTCTCTGGCTCTATTTTTGTTCATCAGTTTATGTTGTTCATTATATTCCACAAATGAGTGAGATCATGTGATATTTATCTTTCTCCAACTGGCTTATTTTGCTTAGCATAATTCTCTACAGGTCCATCCATGCTGTTGCAAATGGTAAGAGTTCCTTCTTTTTTTAGAGCAGCCTAGTATTCCATTCTGTAGATGTACCACAGTTATTTAATTCACTGATCTGCTCTTTGCCCATTTATTGATTGGATTGTCTATCTTCCTTTTGCTAAGTTCTATGAGTTCCCTATAAATTTTGGAGATTAAACCCTTATCAGATATAATATTGACAAATATGTTCCCCCATGCAGTGGGCTCTCTTGTTGTTTTGTTGATGGTTTATTTTGCTGTGCAAGAGCTCTTTATTTTGATGTAGTCCCATTTGTTTGTTTCTCCTTAGTTTCCATTGTCCTAGGAGCTGTATTGGTAAAGATATTGCTACAACATATATCTGATATTTTGCTGCCTATGGATTCTTCTAAGATTTTTATGGTTTCCTGTCTTACATTTAAGTCCTTGATCCATTTTGAGTTTATTTTTGTGTATGGTGTAAGTTAGTGGTCTATTTTCATTTTTTTTGCATGTATCATCCAATTTTCCCAACACCATTTATTGAAGAAACTGTCTTGACTCCATTGTATGCTCTTGCCTCCTTTGTCAAATATTAATTGAGCATAATGGCTTGGGTCAATTTCTGGCTTCTATATTCTGTTCCATTGGTCTATATGTCTGTTCTTGTGCCAGTACCAGGCAGTTTTGAGAACAGTGGCTTTGTAATATAGCTTGATATCTGGTATTGTGATCCCTCCAACTTTGTTCTTCTTTCCCAGGATTGCTGTGGCTATTCGGGGTCTTTTTTTATTCCATATGAATTTTTGGAGAGTTTGTTCTAGGTCTGTGAAGTATGCCATTGGTATTTTAATGGGAATTGCATTGAATCTATAGATTACTTTAGGTAGTATGGACATCTTAATTATGTTTATTCTACCAATCCATGAACATGGTATATTATTCCATTTACTTATGTCTTCCTCTATCTCTTTTTCAACGTCCTGTAGTTTTCCAAGTACATATCTTTTACCTCCTTAGTTAAGTTTATTCCTAGGTATCTTAATTTTTTTGTTGCAATGGTAAATGGGATTTTTTTTTTTTTTTAGTTTTTCTTTCTGTCAGTTCATTATTGGTGTATAAACAGGCCATAGATTTCTGGGTGTTAATTTTGTATCCTGCTTTATTGTCAAATTCATTTATTAAGTCTAGTAGTTTTTTGATGGCATCTTTAGGGTTTTCTTTTTCTTTTTTTTTTAAATATATTTTATTGATTTTTTACAGAGAGGAAGGGAGAGGGATAGAGAGTTAGAAACATCGATGAGAGAGAGAGAGACATCAATCAGCTGCCTGCTGCACACTCCCTACTGGGGATGTGCCCGCAACCAAGGTACATGCCCTTGACCGGAATCGAACCTGGGACCCTTGAGTCCGTAGGCTGACACTCTATCCACTGAGCCAAACCGGTTAGGGCTTTAGGGTTTTCTATGTATAAATAATATCATGTCATCTGTGAATAATGACAGTTTTACTTCTTTTTCAGTTTGGATGCCTTTTATTTCTTCTTCTTGTCTGATCGCTATGGCTAGTACATCCAGTACTGTGTCAAACAGGAGTAGTGAAAGTGGGCATCCCTGTATTGTTCCCGTTCTTAGGGGAAATTGTTTTAGTTTTTGCCCATTGAGTATGATGTTGGCTGTAGGTTTGTCATATAAGGCTTTTATTATGTTGAGGTATGATCCCTCTAGTCCCACTTTGCTGAGAAATTTTATCAAGAAATGATGTTGGATTTTGTCAAAAGCTTTTTCTGCATCAATTGATATGATTATGTGATTTTTGTCTCTCAATTTGTTTATGTGATGTATAACATTTATTGATTTGTGGATATTGTACCAGCCTTGCATCCCCAGAATAAATCACATTTGGTCATGGTGTATGATCTTTCTAATGTAATGCTGGATCTGATTTGCTAGAATTTTGTTGAGGATTTTAGCATCTATGTTCATCAGGGATATTGGCTTATAATTCTCTTTCTTTGTAGTGTCTTTATCTGGTTTTGGAATTAGGGTAATGTTGGCTTCATAGAAAAAGCTTGGAAGTGTGCCTTCCTCTTGAACTTTTTTGAATAATCTGAGAAGGATAGGTTTAGTTTTTCTTTGAATGCATGGTAAAACTCCCCTGTGAAGCCATCCAGACCAGGGCTTTTGTCTGCTGGAAGTTTTTTGATTACTGCTTCAATTTCATCGGTAGTTATCAGCCTATTCAGGTTTTTTTATTCTTCCTGATTGAGTTTTGGAAGATTGTATTTTTCTAGAAATGTGTCCATTTCATCTAGGTTGTCCAGTTTGTTGGAGTAGAGTTGTTTGTAGTATTTTTTTACAATCCTTTTGTATGTCTGTGGGGGTCAGTTGTTACTTCATTTCTTTCATTTCTGATTTTGTTTATTTGGGTCCTCTCTCTTTGTTTCTTGGTGAGCCTGGCTAGAGGTTCATCAATCTTGTTTATCCTTTCAAGGAACCAGCTCTTGGTTTTATTGATCTTTTGTATTTCTTTTCTTTTCTTTCTTTCTTTTTTTTGTCTCTATGTCATTTATTTCCTCTCTGATCTTTATTATTTCCTTCTTTCTGCTTACCCTGGGCTTTTCTTGTTACTCTCTTTCTAATTCTTTAAGTGGTAGGGTTATATAATTTATTACCGTTTTTTATTGTTTTTTGAAGTAGGCCTGTAGAGCTATGAATTTCCCTCTCAGGACTGCTTTCACTGTGTCCCATAGATTTTGGATTGTTGTGTTTTCATTGTCATTTTTTTCCAGGATGCTTTTTATTTCTTCTTTGATCTCTTTGGTAACCCAATCATTGTTTAATAGCATGCTATTTAGCCTCCAAGTGTTTGATTTTTTTCTCATTGTTTTTATTGTAGTTGATTTCTAATTTTATGCCATCGTGATCTGAGAAGATGCTTGATATGATTTCTATCTTCTTGAATTTGAAGAGACTTTGCCTGTGTCCCAATATGTGTTCTACCTTTAAAAAT